CCGAGGCACAGCCACTGCCACAGGTGCCTCACCAAGCATACAAAGTTCATGTGGGACATGATCCAAGAGGTGTGTGACTTTGCCTCATATGAGCAAGCATGGCACCATGGAGCTGCTCGAGATCTCCAAGGACAAATGGGCCCTAAAATTCATCAAGAAAAGGCGGGGAACACATATCCATGCTAAGAGGAAGTGAGAGGAGCTAAAGCAGCGTCCTGGCCATCATGAGGAAAGTGGCTGCCAAAGACTGAGCTCCCTCTCCCCTCTGTGCAGTATAAAACCCCTCTGTGCAGTATAAAACCTTTACAGAAACTCAAAAAAAAAAAAAAAAAGTAACTCTTACAATTTTAACCTTATACTTACACAAAAATGGTAATAAGATTACCTTTGAGGATTGTGCAGTCATACTTTATAAATGACCTTGACTAAAATAAAGAACATTTAGATGAAGCAATAATCTTAAGAGGGGCAACAGGGAGTATCAAGTTTGAAGAAACGGTAGAGATAAGGATGAGATGCAGGATAGAGAAAACATGCTTGCTGGCAACACCACATTCACCTATTCAATGTAAGAGTCTTAGCATTCCCATTCGGTATATAATATGTACTTTCTAAATAAAGTTCATATCTTACCATGAACTCTTGATCCCGTACTAGAATCATCACTAATACCTTGTGGACTTATGTCTTCAAAGGATGTAGTATCTACATAAAATAGCAAAATGGATATAGAAATACTTTTGTAACAAAAAAATTCCATTATAAAATTTTAATTTATGCAGAATATGGAAATTCTTTTTCAATCACATCTAATACACCTTGATTTAACATATTTCAAGACTCAACCAGAAACTGGAACTAGGAGTAAGAAACAGAGTAGTTCTAATGAGAGTTGGCTTGCTTAGGGAAAACACCAGAAGCAAACAATCCCCACTGTGATCCTGAAAAGCAAAGCAAAACCTGGGTAGTTCTATGTGGTTCTCCTTATTTGAAGTTATAGTGCTTTTAGGTTTTATTTAAAAAGCCATCACTCCCTCCAGTTTTTACTCTTTACCTGGTTTACTTCTCCTTTTCTTGTTTTGTTCATTAGCTGTTTATTATGAAAGGAGGCCTAGGAAAGATTTTAGTTATTTGTATATGTTTTAAATTTTCCAAATTTGAAAATTCCCCCAAATCAAATCCAGATCATGTTTTGATAATTATTTCAGGTTGTTGCCTTAAAAAAAGTACACAGGGGAAAGTCAAATTAAAATTCCTGTTGCCAACAGTTACACTACAGTGCAAATAGCAGACGGCCTATACCTTTATTATTAACCAACTGCTTGGATCTGAAGCCTGCAGAAGAGTTGACAGTTGAAAAGTTGATGGCTGTAGTAGAGAAGGCCATAGCTCCCAATTCTTTTCTCCTTTTACCCGTTGAAATATCATCAGGAACCTCCAAATTTTCAGTACTACCTGTCCATTGTCCTGCTAGGACCATGGACTGCACCAGGTCATTCATGGCTGGGATGCAAATGAAAGCAAATGAATCAGCATGGTTAATGTATTTTCTCTTATCTCTATTTTGTATTATAAATGATCTGGCTTTTGTCTATGAATAAACGCAAATGGACATCAAAAACTATAACCACAAAGTCATTTGAATTATGACATGCATTCAGTTGAATGAAATGAGTAGGCCAAAGGCTGATAAATTTCAATAAATACTTTTATCCACCTCCACCCCTTTTAAAAGACAAAGAATGGAATTTTACTATGTACAACTGCCATGCTTTTGTGCAGTGATGTGCAATATAATTAGAAGCCTTCATAATGTGGTTTGTGGTGACAAAAATGACAAAGATGGAGGGCAGTTCTTATACAGCATAATTATTGAATATGAAAATGAGTCCTTGGTCTGAGCAGATTACTGAAGAAATTATTCACTTTACAAATCAAATAAGTATACCATTCAATAAAAACCTGAAAGAGATGATATCCAAAGTGACAGACATTTAATGTGATTATATAATTACCCATTCCACTTAAAAAAAAAGAAAACCCAGAATATTATTATTTAAAGAATGACAAACATTTTCAAAAGTTATAGGCCATTTTATTTATTTATTTAATCTGGTTCATTAAGGAAATAAATTCCTAATGCTAAAGGTTTTGTTATATTTTCCTTAAGTAAATTTCTTTGGGAGAAAAATCTCTATGGCATATAAAATTAAGGGTGGTTTTTTTTTTTTTAACCAACTTTTAGTAAGCACTGGAAATTTACAAGTGTAGGACTAAACATACGCATGTATATGTATCAGTGGATATACATATAATGCAAATTCAGTGCCAGTTTTGAAAAAAATATTCTTCCAGCTCCTTGTATTAGAGGAAGACTGCACTTTGCAAAATAAGAAAATTGGCACAGTGCAGAGAAAGGTTAGTGAAAAATTAGTAACGGAAGCCAGTGTAGTCATTTGAAAGAAGCTGAACTGTCATAAAGTCTTACACATGGAACGACGATAGCAGGCCTTCATTTTGTCTTTATCCTTCGGTCTGTTCCTCAAAAAGGGCAGTCTTTTCAGTGCAACCACTTTAATGTCAGAGCATGAGGAAAAACAGAAACAGGGAAAAATGAAAGAAAAAAGGGAGAAGAACAGATGGGAGTTAAATGTTGAAATTAAGGACAGAAATGAATGTTTGAGTTTCAGCTATGTATGCTATATTAAAGCTATTATTCTCATGCTGCTGAGTGATAATGAAATATGAAATATGTACTTCAATACTTTAAAATATTTGGAAAAGCACTGAAGACAATGATGAGGAACATATACTTTGAAAGCTTGGATTGGCTACAGTCCTATAAAAACAGGAACTGATTAGAATTACTTATGGACAGACCAATTTTCCTAGTTAAGTTGTAAAGGTAAACTTTTTAAATTAAGGCTATTTGTCGATCACACAGTGTACACTATGAAAATGTATAAGGCTTTTCAAGCCTCTATTTTCTTTAACTTTATAAATTATAAGGCTTTATTTTGGGGAAAAAATTAGGAAAATGCACATTTTAACAAAGTGTTTTAAATACATCAACAAAAATTAGGGTGTCCAGGGAATGTTTAAAACAATCTAAAGAAACTTTAAAAATCACATTAAAAGCTTTTATCATTTTCTTAAATTTAAAAAAAAATAGTAAATTATTTCTTGGTTTAAACTGGATTCTCAAGCATTATTTAGCAGCACCACGAAACATACATTCTTTCGACCAAAGTCTTTCTAAAGATGAAATACAGAGTTCATTTTACAAAAGGTTGGTTTATGGAAAGAGGCAAAAAAAAATGTATTTTGACAGTAGTAATAAGTGTTAGCACTAAGCTCTGCTAAAGCTAAAAGATAAGGAGGCACCCCAAAGCAAGCAAAAATGAAAGAAAAATATGTATAACATTTTTAGATATTTTGAAAGGTTTTTTGGGTGAATTTATAAAAATCAAAAGCACTGCGCAAGACATTTTTGTGAATGAAAATCAGGATTACCATTCAAGTATAGGAGTCATTAGAACAATAAAAATGTTCATTAGAGTCACTAACCATTCTTAAGCTAAATTTTAATAAGACAAATATAAAAAATTATTACATCTCTTTGGAGATGTAATTTAGGAGTTAGGGAAACAACTTGCATAAGGACTTAAAAACATATTATACACAGCCTTAATAACTAACCTTTCTCAGAGTTTGCCATCATTTTGCAAATAAAGGTCTTTTGACAAACTGACAAGTATCATTCATTAAAGAGAGTACAATGAACATATAGCTTTTTAACTTTTTGATTGCTATTAGGAACAGTTATAATTCATTTAGGCTTTTAATTTCACCTATTTCTTTTCAAACTTGGCAAACACAGCTATTTTCAATGATTAAAAAGAAATGAACTGAAAGCAATGTAAAAATGGACACTTAGCTAAAAAAAAAGCCGAGTGGTTGCAGCATGCACATGTCTTGTTTAGATACTTTATTTTCTTTTTATGTTTTCAACTGTTTTCCAAAGCCTGCTTTACTGACAGACAGACACTCTTCCAAAATGGACAGGATAAAAGGAGTTTTAAATTTCCAGGTGAAGGAATGTGATTGTTCTTGTGGCACTACTTTGTAGATATACAATATTCTTTTCCCAAAGCATACTGAAATTAAAAGAACCTTAGTATCGTTGGGTTTTATGTTTATTTTTAAATTCTAAAGCTGAATAACTCCAGGAAAGGAGAATATTACTTCCTTTTGATTTTTATTCTGGAAGTTTCAGCAGAGAGCATGAAAGAATGGGATTTATTTAAAACAGACTAGAGGGCTGGCCTGTGGCTCACTTGGGAGAGTATGGTGCTGATAACGCCAAGGCCCTGGGTGCGGATCCCTATATAGGGATGGCTGGTTAGCTCACTTGGGGGAGCGTGGTGCTGACAACACCAAGTCAAGGGTTAAGATCCCCTTACCGGTCATCTTTTAAAGAAAGCAAAAAAAAAATTAATAAAACAGACTAGATGACCCCCCAAAAGACTTTTGTAGCTTTTTTATGTATTTTTCACAACTGAATTGAAATATCTACCTTTAATTATAAAAAATTAAGTATACCCCTTACCATTTCTCATCTAATTAATAACATGTCAAATATTTTATATCTAAAAAGGTAGCAGATAAAACTGACTTATCTGTCACCTTTTTAAGGAAAACTTGATGATCTGTCTACAACAATAACTACTCAGAGGTTTCATGTAGATTTGGTGGACCAGACTAGACAGCAAAAGACCAGGGTAACAATAATCTTATGTGAGGATACAGAATTAAACTACTTTCATGCGACATACACACACACACTCATATATACATATATATGTATGCATATGTACAATTTTTATTGTTGTTTACCTATGGACTCTAGTTTTTAGGCAGCTATAATTGCATTGTGAAATATGCCCTATAATATTTAAAACCCTATTCCCTAAAATGTCTTTTCAGCGATAATTCACCTGAGGCGATAATACACATTGTGTATAGTTTTTTGAGTGCTTTGGAGTCTACCCCTGGAGGAAGAAGCAGCTGCTTTTACCTGCTATCTAGTTTTAAAAATGGTATGTGTATGTAAATATTTTTTTTAAATTTAGTGACACCGGTGATAGAATGAGAGTGTTCAAAGTATCCTATTTACATGTTTTATAAGAACATTGATAGTAGTCAACTTTTTGGACACTTTCAAAGAGCTCAGTATTGAATTCTTTTCCTCTTGATATACACTTCTCTAGGCTTTTACTTTGCTCTTGCTATTTAGCTAAGCATACTAGTAACGAAATAAAAAGGCTATGAATTATACAGGACACATTATGATGTGATACTTCTAAATTTGTAATAAAATTAAATTACAAAGTTATAAACAAATTATCTCCCCATCTCTCTATTTTAATTGATCCTTTACCAACCCATCCCTCTGTAATTTTCTCTCTTTGTGGGGGGCAGCTGGCCGGTACAGGGATCCGAACTCTTGACCTTGGTGTTATCAGCACTGTACTCTACCCAACTGAGCTAACTGGCCACCCTCAATAATTTTCTTAACCTTTGGTTATTTCTAAATCATTAAATAACACCTCTTCAAATTCATACCTATTTTTCTTTGCTTCTCCCACTATAACTTTGCTGCAATTTGACACTATCAAAGCATATGAGCAAAAACCTCATTACAAAATGCTTTAATATTCTAATTAAGTTATAGATAATTATGAAAATAAAATCTTACATATATTTTTCACTTGCTCCTTAAAATCACCCTGTGAAGTATGAAGCAAAGGTAAAAGTCTTACCCATATTAACAGAACTTGAAAGTGGCAGAAGTATTCTGGCTTATTTCAATGTTCTTTCTACAATATTTTACTCCCTGGCCAAATGATGATATCTCTGTGTATGGGATATCTTTCAACACGCAATATAGAAAATCAAGTGGTCATATACTATTGTAGCATGCAATTAATTTTATAATCATATGGAATTAAAAAGAAATGCCATTCATCAGACCATTCCCCAAAAGCACTGTTGAAGTTTCTTTTAAAAGAAATCTTTAGAAAGGATTCTAAATCAATACTAAAGAGTTTAAGCACTCACTGCTGCTTTTCTTGGTCCCCAAGGTTTGGCCATCTTCTAAAGAGTTTGAACCTACTGAAGAACTATCTTGACTATCTTGATGGGGGAGTTGTAGAAATCCTTCACTGGAGTCTGAGCGGGTAGGTGTTAACGTTAGAGATTTCTGACGCTCCCGATTAATGTCTTTCTTAGACTTTATCAATTTTCTCATTTTTAGAGTAATCCAGTTGCCTCTCCTAATAGAATTTTAAAAATTCTTATCAGTCTAAAATTCAACATAATCCTTCAAAACATTAGAAATAATATGACTTTTCAAAATTAAAATTCATAAAATTTGGCTAATGGTACCTTCTAGGAGGAGATGGGTCATAAAATTTGTATTGATCCATAATTTTCTCTTCTAATTTCTCTTTTTGTCGTCTTAATTCGTTTAACTTATCACTATAAAAATAAAAATTACATTTTAGGACATGCATCACATTTTGTACAACTATGAATAATATTAAATAGTTTTGTGGCTATGATCTAATTTCTCCCCAAATAATGAACAAATACAGATACCATGCTTGACAATTAAGAGTTTATTAGGTAGTAACAATGGGATTTTTTACATGTTTTTCTTTTCTTTTTTTTTTTTTGGCAGCTGGCTGGTACAGGGATCTGAATTCTCAATCCTTGGTGTTACATCACCACACTCTAACCAAATGAGCTAACTGGCCAGTCCTCTCCTTTTCTTTAAATCTACAACTTACTGAAATAAAACAATTTAGAACTTAAAGATTCAATAAGATTTATTTGTTTGGAAGACATTTTCCTTACTATAATCTCATCATGTCTTTAAGGAACTCTGTTACAAACATCTTTTTACAGCTATTAAACAAACATTATATCAACATTGACTATTTCCCTATTCTTGGATCACTAGTATCTCAAATCATTTTTGGAATGAAGAAGGATGGTTTATTATAATTTATATAAGCAAAATATTAAAATGTTGAGTATTATATTTTCTTACAATTATAAATATCAAAGATTTTTGATATTTTAATTGTAAATGAAATATCAAAGATCACAGACCAAAGTAGAGTGATCTCTCTTAAATTAAAAAGAAAATCAATGCCAAATTATATTATTTACTCAACAAACATTTAGTGATCATTTACAATGAGGAAGGCATGAGGTATATATAAAGATGAATAATAAGTAGCTCTGCTTATAGTACAATAGGAGAGAGAAGATATAAACATAAATGACTATTATAATCCAAGGCAGTAGCAGTACCAAAGTAAATGTACTGTGGAAAGGGCCAGCCCCGTGGCTCACTTGGGAGAGTGTGGCACTGGGAGCGCTGAGGCCGTGGGTTCAGATCCTATATAGGGATGTCCGGTGCGCTCACTGGCTGAGCATGGCGCAGACAACACCGTGCAGAGGGTTGCGATCCCCTTACAGGTCAAAAAAAAAAGTACTATGGAAATACAACAGGAACTTTTTTTTTTTTCCTTTTTGTCTTTTTTTTTTCGTGACCAGCAACGGATCGCAACCCTCAGTGTCGCGCCTGGACGGGGACGGCAACGAGATCGCAACCCTCGGTGTTGCACCCGCACCTCGCTCAGCCAGTGAGGGGCCGGTCTGTATGTGGGATCTGAACCCGGGGCAGGAGCGCCGCCGCGCTCCCAAGCGGCGCACTGTAGCAGTGCGCCACTGGGCCGGCCCCAACAGGAACTTTTTTTTTTTCCTTTTTGTCTTTTTTTTTTCGTGACCAGCAACGGATCGCAACCCTCAGTGTCGCGCCCGGACTGGGACGGCAACGAGATCGCAACCCTCGGTGTTGCACCCGCACCTCGCTCAGCCAGTGAGGGGCCGGTCTGTATGTGGGATCTGAACCCTGGGCAGGAGCACCGCCGCGCTCCCAAGCGGCGCACTGTAGCAGTGCGCCACCGGGCCGGCCCCAACAGGAACTTTTAAAAGGGAAAATATTCCCATCTTGGATGACCAAATAAATCCTCATGTAGAAAACCACCATTTTAGATAGGCTGAAAAGGAAAGATAGGAATGCTAAATTAAGTAGTTTAGCTTGAATGTGGGATGACAGAAGCAGTGAGAATTTCGGGTTTAGATTTTACTCACTAGGAAACAGATGTATTATAAGTTTCATTATAAAGTAATACTATGAAATCTTTGCTTCAGGTACCTTAACCCAATGTGAAATATGATATATTAGAAAGGTGGTAGTTAAAGTATTCAGGCTAATGGGCAGTTTGGTTGAGAGGGAAGGCTGAATTATGGTGGTGAGAATTGGGAGGAACTGATTTGAGAGATTCTATAGAAGATGCTTTGTGAACAGATGTTGCCAATAGTTATACCACAGCACAAATTTGAGAGGGAAGGCTGAATTATGGTGGTGAGAATTGGGAGGAACTGATTTGAGAGATTCTATATAAGATGCTTTGTGAACAGATGTTGCCAATAGTTATACCACAGCACAAATTAAGCAGACAACCTATACCTTTCTTATTAACGGTCTGCTTGGATCTGAAGCCTATGGAAGAGCTGACAGTTGAAAAGTTGATGGCTGTAGTAGAGAAGTCCACAACTACCAATTCCTTTCTCCTTTTACCTGCTGAAAAACCATTAGAAACCTCCAAATTCTCAGTACTACCTGTTCACTGTCACTCCTGCTAGAACCATATGATAGAGGCATCCAGCTAGAAATGTATGACAGATGAGATGGCTATTTGTAATTTAAATTCAGTAAGGCAGAATAGGTAATAATAATTGGAAGTCAATTATGTAGACACAATCATTAAAACCCTAAAAATGCATTAGTTATAAAGGGTCAGAATATTAAGATGATGAAGTGTTGGATAATGCCTCTTCGTAAAGGACAGGAAATTCACATGCCAAGAGCTTTATATGTATATACTCAGTGCTTCTTAACCTAAATTACCTCTTATGGCAGAGAGTAAAGGGATATGTACCCCTGAAAGGACTGAAGGGGTAGTCCAAAGTGGCCAGCCACAAATGTGAAATTTCTTTGAGGTTTTTGCATTTATCTTAAAAGTTCATGGAAACTCTGCCTTTTGCTCCATGGTACACCTGTGTATTAATATAGAAATAATGTTCCCTGCCCCAAATTTTTAAATAAAATTGATGCTTAGAAAAATGTACAATGTATCCGGGCTTCACATGAGCCCTGGTTTACTATCATGTACGTCAAGTCTGAAAGGCACAGACATTATTTCATTTACTCCTTAGGATAATCTGGGAAGTAGGTGTTGTTATCTCTATTTTAGAGAAGAATTAACTAATGATCAAAGAAATGAAGTAACTCATCTATGGTCACATAGCTAGTGAGTGGAAGAATTGGGATATGAATTAGAAGCTGTTTGATTTCAACATCTGTGCTATATCTATTATACTGTGGTACTTCTCATTTAGGGGGCAAGGGGAAGAAAAAAATCTAGTAAAAGTGAATCATGGTTTAAAACAAAGACTACCCCCTGAGCTTCCCAAGCCCAAATCCCTGAGTCTTACTAGATTCTTTCACTCTTAGTGGAGATACAACTTGTCAATAATTAAGCCTTGTCAATTCTCCCTCTCACATCTGTAGTTTGATCTCAACTCCTTTGCATGGCATAGAAAAATCTTTGTGAACTGGCTCCTGTCTGTTTAGCCACTTCCCTACTGTTCCCTCTTCCTCAATTTTACTCCAGAAAGAAAAATTAGGTTTTTTAGGTTCTGTATGACACCACAACATACTTTCATCACACCTCCATGTTTTTGCATTGCTCTCTTGGTCTAGCATGCTTCCCCAAGCAAACCCCTACTGAACATTTAAGTCTCAGCTCAGGTCTTATCTTTGGAAAATCCACCTTGCCTCTCCCAGACTATGATACTCCTTCTCTTATATTTGCTTTATTTCTATGGCCTCCTACACACACTTCCATTGTAGAATTATTGTATTTAAATTTTTATTTGTATTTTTCACTTTATATTACTAACTCCTTAACAGCAGGGCCCATGTATTTTCATGTTAGTACTTCTGGTTAATTAGCATAGTACCTGGAATATAAGCACTGAAGAAATATATATGTTGAAATGATAATGTTGAAAATCAAGAAAAATTAGCTTGAGTTTTCTCTGCCACTGGGTATGGCAATGATAAAATCATGAGTAATATTTCAGAGTGCAAATTATTTGGTACCTACATGTATTGTCTTTGTTCAACATGAAAAAGATCCTTGCTTTCCATATTCTGCTCCAATAGTGTTCTGTTCTGTAGCATTAGTGTCTGAATTTGATCTAATAGATGTCGATTTTCTTCTTCTAAATTTCCTTTAAGTTGGCTTAGCAACTGTTTAAACACAAAAATTTATTTAAAAAAAAACATTTACATGTAACATAAATCACCTGAAACGTATGAAAAATATAAAATACTTCACAAAGACTTTAGTCTTCCACTATTTGAACATTTAGACGATTGAACTTTGATCAGAGTGGGAATGATAACTTAAGTGACAATGACAGCTATAGCACTGGGTTATATGCTATACATACATCTTTCTTAATTCTCACAAACACTATGTCTAATATATATCAAATTATCTAGTTCCAAAAATACTCCTTTCTGTATTTTTTTTTCTGCTTTCAAAACTGTTAAATTTATAATCCAAAAGCTAGATTCAAATCTCTGGTCTTCTATTTAAGTAGCTATGAAATGTTGGACAAGTTAGTTATCAGATCTATAAAATAAGGATAGCTCCCATCCCCCAAGATTGTTGCAAGGATTAAATAATATATGTAAAGTACCTGGTAGTATGCCTATGGCACACAGTAAGTAGGTACTCACATATCGCATTCTTTCCCCAACCACTGTGTCTAAGGAACCTTAAAAATCTGCATATAGTTTTTCTGGCTTGATCAAGGGGAGTCAGGTAATTTAGTCAATGGTTGGTATTACCAGCTGGTATTACTGGTAGCTGGGCTGCCAGCAGCATTGGGCTTTTTGTATGCAATTAGTAGAAATTGGAAATGTGCCTTAGCTAGGACAGGGTTCCAGTAGAAGTCATAAAGCCCAAAGCAGTGACTTGTAAAACTTAGCATCCCTTGTACAGTATATTTCTGGGCCCCAGCATTCAAA